GACTCTAAATAAACATCACTGAAGTTTCTCAGTAGGTTGATTTCTTTTCTCCTGCCTTAAAGCGATAGTTCAGCAGAAAATCGATTTAGTCGATCAGCTCAGACGTGTTCAAAGTCTGAAGTTCACTCATTTAGTTTTAGCTCTGGAGCTACAAGGTTAATGTAGCAAATAATGGAAACTTCCGTTTATCATCACTGATCTGAAGAACAAACTGATCAAACAGAATCACCTTCAGAACAGATTAGACTCTCAGACTTATTAGTCTTTCACACGAGCTCGTTTAGAAAACCTGCACACGTACGAGCGCGTTAGCATTTATCTTCAAACAAACGTTTTAGTCGCAGCTGAGAGCAGTTCTCTTTAATCTGACTGATTAAACTGTCAGCACACTGCAAAACATCTTAAATCTGTTCAATATAGCTAAAATTTCTCATTATGAAATTATTCTAAGATTATTGCAAAATTATTTCAATTATTTATAGACATTTGTACTTGTTTTAAGCAATTTAATCTCATAAAATTGTCTCAATTAGCAGCATTATTTATCGGCCGTTCACTCGTTTATCCAACATTGTTCACTCGTCTGTTCCTTCATTCACGCGTTGCTTCATCCATCTGTCCGTCTGTCCATCTTCATCCATCTGTGACCTTTTTCGTCCAGTTTGTGTCGCATAAAAGCTGGATAATGATGTTGGTTCTGTTTGAGGGGCGGAGCTGGCTAGGAGTGTTGGACAGGGAGCTGTCAATCAAGCTGCTCATTAGCCACACCCACACAGCTCTCAGACGGGTCTGATCAGCATGTTTAGGCTGTGTTTTATCATATTTATGTCTTATATGTTTTATTCAGGTTTTGCTGGATGTTTAATATAACATGTAATTTTAGTATCATACATTTTTAATATTTTACTCCGAGACTTCAAAACATCTCAGTGCACAAAATTAAATTTAAAATCTCTGGAAAAACGTTGAATAATCTTAGAATATTCTTACAACAAACTTACAATGGGAAATATTGATTTATTGATTGGATTTAAGGTGTTTTCAAACAAGCTGTTTGTGTAATCCCGACTTGCTGCTTGGCTTAGTGTATTGTCTGATGTGAGATGTTCTACTGTGCTGTTCTGCTCTCAGTTTCACAGAAATGTCTATATTTACACAGAATTGTATGTAGAATCCATTAAGTTTTGTGTGAAAATATGAGCAAAACCACTGAGAGGCTAGCATCAATGCTAATAACGTTAGCACTAGCTTCCTTACCTTAGTGACTTGTTTACAGAGTAATAATTCTAAAAACATCAATCGATACATCAGCATATCAATCAACACTGTTAAAAAAGACGGTTCTTCAGGGGTTCTTTAGTAAAGGCAATGGCTCTATTTAGAGCCATGAGTTCTATATAGAACTATTCCATGCTTAAACAGTTCTCTGCATGGTGAAATAGTTCTTCAGATTGATGGAGAATGTGTTGTACATAGTTCTGTAATAGTTCAGTATAGCACCATAAAGGGTTCTTCTGCTTAGCAGAACCCTTTTTGCTGCTATACAGAACCATACACAACACATTCTCCATCAATCCGAAGAACGTCTTCACCATGCAAAGAACATTTTGAGCATGAAGTCATTCTTTTAGCATTCATGGTTCTATACAGAACCTTTCCCCTTACCAAAGAACCCTTGAAGAACCGTCCTCTTTAACAGTGTAGTCTCTCTGCTGCTGTTGTTGTTGGTGTAACAGTGCTTGGTGACTTTATCTTCACCTGGAAGAGTAAAGAATGTGTTGAATAGTCATTGGCTTTGGCTGTAAGTGTCCACAGAGACAGAGGAGAACACCCTCGAGTACCACTAGATCCCAGTCTTGAGAACCAAAAACCATAAAACTGGACCCTTTGGTACATGATGGCCAGTGGAAAAAGCACAGCTCCAGTTTTCTGGTTCTAAAGGTTCCACAACCTTAGTGCAGTGAATGTGTTCTGTACAGATTCAGTAAAGAAGATTTAGGAGACTCAGAGAGATTTACAGTGTTTATACTCACACAGAGGATACACACAAAGTGACTTAGTTCAATTATTGATTGATTGATTGATTGATTGATTGATTGATTGATTAATTGACTCTGAAATCCATTCATAAATGAACTTTTTTGTTTAAAAACCCAGCACAGCATGAATTCAGTGGTGGTCTAAGCTGGTTTGTGCTGGTCTGCTGCTGGTTTAGCTGCTCACCCAGCATAGTCACACTGGTTGACCAGCATACCAGCATCCAAAACACAACACATGCTGGTTTTGCTGGTGACCAGCCACCATCTTGTTCTAGCAGGGACTATATCAGATGGAGACGTTAAAGGGAGAGTTCAGTCCACAATGCTGATGCTGCTAACATGGTGACATCATGATATCTGGTCGCTGCTTACTTGCATTCATCATTAGCACACTTTAAAAAGATGGTTCTTTAAGGGTTCTTTAGTAAAGACTGGCTCTATATATAGAACCATGAACACTCAAAGAAATGGTGAAATGTTTTTTTTCAGATTGATGGACAATGTGTTGTATACGGTTCTATACAGCAGCAAAAAGCGTTCTGCTATTGTTATGATGTCAAGCCTGTATACAATAGAAGAACCCTTTTTGGTTCTGTATAGAACCTCTATTCTGTACATCATTCAAAACTTCTGCACAACTAAATGTTATTTCACAGAGGTTCTGCATTCTAGATAAACTCACCGAGTCAGAACTGTTCACAGTGGTGGTGATAGGAACCAGACGTCCCCCTCTAAAAGCTCCCTCACAGAAAGTTCCTACATGAAATGGTTATGAATTCACTGCCTGATGACTGAGACGCTGTTTTATGATAGTTTGGAGAACTTAAACTCCATTCATGGTGGAGGGATACATGCAGGGCACTGTGAGGCAAAATAGTCCCCAAAGAAAACTTATTATTTCAGATTTTCCACTATTTCCCATCATCAACATTCCATATAAACTCAGAAGACTCGTGTAGGTTCACTGGTGGTTCTGGATAGTAAATAAAATGTCTATATCTGTGTTGTAGTCATGGCGACCCCTGGTTCCTATCACCACCACTGTAAAGACGTCTGAACCATTTCACACCAAACCTCTCTGAGTTACTCTGATTACACCTCAATGACTGAAATTAGGGAAGATTCTCAGTGGAATTCCTGTTTAAACACTGCTAAAGATTCGGCTCCACCGCTGTGATTGTTTATTGCCTTTGGTTTCCACGGTTACAGCGCCGAGATAACTAAGTGTAAAGGCCCAATAACGGCACTGATACTGAGTGGAAATGAGGTTTGAATGAGTTCGTTTATTTTCAGACTTTATCTTCAGACTGACCACACTGCTGACCTTCACCATCACAGAGCTGCTCCACTGCTCTGACTCCTACAGGACCTGAGAGAGAGCAGTGTCTCACGTACAGAGCAGTGAGAAAGCAGAACACAGACAGGAACGCAGAACCAATGAAGCGGATCAGATCAGAGATTTCTGTCCATTACTGCGTCCGAATGAGTTCACAGAGCGTCCAGTCAGACTCTGACCGTGTTTGTGTCCTTCTCGCTCCGATCGCGTTCAGCCCTGAACTCGGCTGCTCCTCATTAGCCTCATCGTCTGACCACAGGCTTTAAGACCGGACACAGTAAACCAATCTCACAGTTTATTACTGATCAATCAGATCCATAACGACAGAGAGGAGCAGGGTGATAATGACCACAGTCCATAACTGACCACTACTGAGTCCAGCACAGATAGCGAGATGGAGGCATCATCATCATCATCAACTTGATAACCTCTCATTATTCAATTACTCTAATTAATCAATAAGTCTGTTCATTTTAGAATTTTTGAATAATTAAAAACTCTCAGAATCAATAATTTGAGATTAACTGGTGACCTCAGAATCATTGATAGTCTTAAATTAATTAATTAATCAACTACCCAGATCAATCGGTAGTACAGATTGATCTATAATTTTGATTAATCAAAAACTCTGATAATCAGTAACAACTCTCGCTAACAATAATCCCAGATTGTTTGATAATCTGAAATTAGTCTTCAACAATCAGATTAATCAATAACTGATTATTCGGCAACTCTTTAATCACTGACCCAGATTAATCAGCTGTGACTAATTATCAACTCAGTTTCATCAATGATACTGCTTGATTAAAAACCCTGATAATCAATTATCTCAGATTAATTAATGACTGATTAATTTACAACTCTGATTAATCGATAACCTTCCTTAGATTAAGCGATAACAGATTAGCCGATAACCTCAGATTAATCAAGAACTACGATTAACCAATAATTCAGATTAATCATTGCCTATGATTAACCTACAACTTCAAATCGATCAATAACTGATTATACATCAACTCGGATTAATCAATTTTCCAGATTAATTGTCAACTGTAGTTAATAATCAACTCTGTTTAATTGATAGTTCTGCTTGATCAAAAACTGTGCTAATCAGTAACCGTAGATTAATCAATAATTCCCCAAACTAATAACCTCAGATTTATCAATGACCTTCCTTATATTAAGCAATAACTCTGATTAGCTGATAACCTCAGATTAATCAAGAACTATGATTAACCAATAATTCAGATTAATCAGTGACTGATTAATCTACAACCTCAAATTAATCAATAACTCATTATTTATCATCTCAGATTAATTGATTTCCCAGAATAATCATCAACTGTGATTAATCATCAGTTTAATCGACAATCATGCTTGATCAAAAACCCTGATAATCAATAAACCTGTATTAACCAATAACTCCCATTAACTAATAACCTCAGATTAATCGATGACTGATTACTTTAAAACTCTGATTAATCAATGATCTTCCTTAGATTAAGCGATAACTCTGATTAGCCGATAACCTCAAATTAATCGAGAACTATGATTAATCATTAATCCAGATTAATCAGTGACTGTGATTCATTTATCTCTTCAGATTAATCAATACGTCTGATCGGTCACTGTCTGCTGAACCTGCACCTGAGCATTTTCCTGAAGGCATTCTGGAAGTCTCTGTTGAAGTAGGCGTAAATGATGGGGTTGAGGAGGGAGTTGGCGTAACCCAGCCAGTTAATGACGGCGCCCAGCCAGGCGGGCATGGAGCAGCTGGAGCCGCAGAAGGGCAGCACCAGCGCCACGATGAAGAAGGGCAGCCAGCACAGGATGAAGGTGCCCATGATGATGCCCAGCGTCTTCACCGTCCGCCTCTCCCGAGCCAGCGCCCTCCGCCTGGCATCTCCACAACCTCCACCTCCACCCTCAGCCTGAGGCTGGTTGGGCAGCGCCAGGTGCAGCTTGGATGCTCCACGCCCTCCAGAGCCAGGTAAGAGTTTGGTGCCCGTCCCAGATCCGTTGGCACATGAGGGTCCGTTCACCGGAGACACAGTGAAGCACAGCTGTGTACGAGAATCCTCGGTCTTCATCTTTGGCTCTGAGTCAGTCTCAATGCCCTCTGGAGTGCCCACACTGGTGCCCTCTGAAGTGCCCATTCTGGTGCCCTCTGGAGTGCCCATCCTGGTGCCCTCTGGAGTGCCAGAGCTGGATCCATCTGGTGTGCTCATCCTGGTGACCTCTGGACTACCCATCCTGGTGTCCCCTGGAGTGCTCTCTCTAGTGCCCTCTGGAGTGCCCACCCTGGTGCCCGCCTCTGAGGTGCATGCCACTGTGTTCACCGGCGACACAGCGACACACAAATGTGTACGAGACCCCTCCTTCTCGTCCCTCTTCATCTTTAGCCTCAACCTGGTGCCCATCCTGGTGCCCTTTTTAGTGCTTGTCCCGGTCCCGTTGGTGCATGTGACTCCATTCACTGGCAGCATGGTGGCGCTAGACTTCTCCTTCTGCTTCTTCATCTTCATCCTGTCGGTGGACTTCCTGGCACTCCGGCGAATGCGGAACCGGGCCGCCCGGAATATCCGGCCGTACAGGACCAGCATGAGCGCCAGCGGGATGTAGAACGCCCCGAAGGTGGAGAAGATGGTGTAGGCTGGGTCCTGGCTGATGGTGCACTCCAGTGGGTTGGCGCGGTCCTCTGGCGTCCTCCAGCCCAGCACTGGTGGGATGGAGATGGAGAACCCGATCAGCCAGGTCAGGCTGATCAGCATGGCGGCGCGGCACAGCGTCCTGCGGGTCATGTAGCCCACCGGGTCGGTGATGGCCCAGTAGCGGTCCAGGGCGATGGCGCACAGGTGCAGGATGGACGAGGTGCAGCACAGCACGTCCAGAGCGATGAACAGGTCGCAGGCCGCTTGGCCCAGAGTCCAGCGCTGCAGAACCTGGTACAGCGCCGCCATGGGCAGCACCAGAACCGACACCAGCAGGTCCGCCACGGCCAGAGAGCCGATCAGATAGTTGTTGATGGTCTGCAGGGAGCGCTCGAGAGCGATGGCCGCGATCACGCACGCGTTACCGACGATGGACATAAGGATCAGCGCGCCGAGGAGGAGAGACGTCAGAACCTCGCCGGAACCGAAGCCGGAACCGGACCTGGAAGCAGACCAGTTGCGCGCCGCCAAATCCGTGCTGTTGGTCTCCATGTGGTCAGTCTGGCTGCGTCCAAAACCACATACTACACTGAGCTGCGCTGTGTTACAATTCACTGCTTTATTTCTCAGACATGCTCTTTAATGTGCATATCCTAGGACGCGCGCGTTTCCGTTCTCTTCTCGCGCGCAGCTGGCTCTCGGTCCCGTGCGCGGCGCATCACCGCGGTCCCGCACGCGCGCTTTTATAAGAGCGCCGGTGGCGCGAGGAGAGAGAGCGAGACCGTGCGTCACTCACCGAGACCCGCGCGCATCAGCGGCAGCATCACGAGCCGAGGGAGAGAGAGAGCGCGCGCGGCGAAACACTTCAGAGGACTGCTGCGAGTCTGAGTGCTGCTGAGTCTCGCGCTCTGAGGGAGGGAGGGAGCTCGAGCGCAATTTATTGGAGACCGCTGACTTGACGTCACTGAGCATAACCGCTAAACGCTGCCTTATACATACATTATATATATATATATATGAAACAAGCAAAACTGTCTGAGATCATTTTACTTGAAAGAAGTTAAAAATGTCTAAAATAAGTTTAATAATCTTATAATAAGGTAAACAGGTAAAAATGTACTGACTGGATTTAAGATCATTTCACTTATTTGCAGTGTATTCATGGTGGAGGGATACATGCAGGGCGCTGTGAGGCAAAATAGTCCCCAAAGAAAACTTATTATTTCAGATTTTCCACTATTTTCCATCATCAACATTCCATATAAACTCAGAAGACTCGTGTAGGTTCACTGGTGGTTCTGGATAGTAAATAAAATGTCTATATTTGTGTTGTAGTCATGGCGACCCCTGGTTCCTATCACCACTGTAAAGACATCTGAACCATTTCACACCAAACCACTCTGAACCTCTCTGTTTACACTTCACACACTGAGTTATGGAGGAAAGTTTGAAAAGTTGGTGGAGTTTTCCTTAAACTGGCTTTTCAGAATTTCTGCATATTTCAGTGGATGACAATGTTTAATATGAACAGAAACACAAAGTAACAAGGTGGAAAACTCATATAAAAGTATAATAAACACTGGATGATGTCACTCATGAACACCTACACAAGTGTGTGATTACAGAAGAGCTTCATACATTCATTCAAAAAAGTTAATCTGTTAAAAATTAACTACATTTATCAGCCAGATTAGGTTATTTTTCTGCACTTTAGATGCATAAAAATCATTTAAAGAAAAGAATTTCTAAACTGTGTTTATTTGATTATTTGATATCACAGTAATTCCACTGATTTTTCTCAAAGTTGTTGACCATTCAGGGTTGAAATGTAAACACAGTCAATATAAAACAGTGTCTCAGTCATCAGGCAGTGAATTCATAACCATTTCATGTAGGAACTTTCTGTGAGGGAGCTTTTAGAGGTGGACATCTGGTTCCTATCACCACCACTGTGAACAGTTCTGACTAGATAAGTTTATCTAGAACGGAGCGTTTCACACCAAACCGCTCTGAACCACTCTGACCCGCTCTGACCCGCTCTGACCCGCTCTGACCCACTCTGTTTACATCTTAACCACTTAATTATGCAGGAATTATGAAAAAATGCCCTTTAACTATCACCAAAACTCTCCATTGTTTACAGTCACCGTTCAAACCTGGTTATCTAATCAATCCTTCACTGCTGTCGGAATTGAACAAATCTAACAAATCAATAACTTTATTGAAACAGCACATTGTGACTGCTGACTGCTGTATTTATGTTTATTTGTATTAATTCTAATGTTATATTGTGTTTTACTGGAACAAATCGTACTTACTGCCCAGGGAAATAGCTTCAAACGAGAGAGAACATGAGAGCATGTTTATGTTTCAGCACCGTGGACAGCGCCCTGGACTCTGCTGCCCCCTGCTGGTCAACGCACCGCACTGCTGCTCATCCACAGGTTTGGTTACTCACATTCACTGAATTTCCTGTCTTTCTGTACCGTGTGGATGGATTGATCCTTTTCTAATAATCAGCGCTTTCAACTAACTATATTGTATAGTAAAACAATCTATTTTGTTCTATTTTAGTCATTAATAATAATTTTGCTGGGTTTAATTTGTGCTGTTGTGCTTTACTGTTGTTCAACACTCCCACTTTGTAGCTCCAGCACTTTATTTTAGACCAAAATGATCCCAAAATAGAGAAAAACTAAAGTTTCTTATTTAATGGCCCCTTATTTGAATTTTCCGTTCCACCTTAAATGGTGCAACTTTAGTTTGTTATTCAACACTGCAAAAAATAATATCACAGCAAGTGAAAACATCTAAAATCCAGTTAACATATCTAATATTCCTCACTACAATATCATTGAAAAAATATTATAAGATTATTTAACTTATTTCGAGACATTTTTACTTGTTTTGATTGATTCTGCCTTATAAAAGTGTCCTATTCTGTTGGCAGATCATTTACTTGCTTCGAGAAATAATGAAGATAATTTTGCTTATTTTAGGAAATAATGGATAAAACAAGTAAAATGATCTGCCAAAGGAATGCGACACTTTTATGAGATGAAAATTACTCAAAACAAGTAAAAAGTCTAGGAATAATTTCAATAATCCTGTAATTTTCTTATGACAGTGTCATAATGAGAAATATTAGACATATTGGCTAGATTTACTAGCTAAGATACCCTTTTTTTGCAGTGAACAACACCTTATTTGAATTTCCATTCCACCTTAAATGGTGCAGCTGTTACAGAAAGAAAATAAGAAACTTAACTGTAAACTGTTCCATTTAATGTGGAATGAAAAATGTTCACTGCAAAAAAGAAACTGCAGTTTGTTGGACTCTAACTGCACCATTTAAGGAGGAATGGACCAGTTCCAGCCCCATAGTTGTGCAGACGGATTCTGGATGTGAGAAAAAGTGACACTACAGAGGGAAATAAATCAGGCTGAGTGAAAATCGAGCCCCACATTAGCAGTCACAGTGCATTCAAGCTGAAATCTCCTCCTCGATTTGCATACAAGAGAAAAATATGAGCATGATCTGAGAATAATCACACAGTCTGCCTGCATTACAGCGGACGTGGCCTGACTGTATATGACAGAATTACATATTTATGACAGAGTTAATAATTTATTAGGCGTGACTCTGTTTGGGTCACTGAGCAGATTAAAATCAGCAGCGGCCTGACCGTGACGGCACACGCAGCCAATTCCTCCATTCACATTCATCAATAGTCATTAGTTTTAAGATGAGTTACAGCCTCATTGTGCTAGAAATCGCAGTGATTCGGACGGTCAGTGGAGGGACGTTTACGAAAACAGTGGGTGAATAATCAACAGTTCCATCACTTCACATACAGAATATTTTGCAAATGTACAGTTTTATCTGCAAAAGAAAATCATCCATTATAGATCATATCTGTACTCTGCACAGAGACTTTCCTCAAAAATAAAAGAATGATGCAGTGCTGCATAAAGGATGAGGAACACTTCATCATTTTGTGCATTTCTACATAAATATGATCTAAAATATAATCAGAACTTTAATTAATCATAACAATAGATAAAGAGAACCCACTTAAACGAATAACACAATCCAGTTATAATCCAGTACATTAATCCAGCTATTAATCACAGTGACCCAACATTAAATGTTTGTGTTGGTAAAGATGTGTGACCCTCTAGAATGGTCAGTTTGGTGAAGGTGATAAAGAGGGTCAGGAGGTTCAATCAACTTGATGACAGTCAGGTGTGAACATCGCTGACCCCACCCCATTTAAAGAACCTGAATCTTCACCATCAGAGTCTGTTCTTTAACACACGTTTACATAATCATACCATGTTTCAGTCTAATGAGATCTCTGAGGACCTCAGAAGAACATTTCCAAACTCATTAGGCTGGAAGATGTTCCAAAACTATTTCTGACGAGTTTACACAGTGACAGGCAGATTGACAAATGGAGGAAATTCCACAGCCCTGTTACTCTTTCCAGGAGTGGACGGCCAACAAAAATGACTGCAAGACTAAGGTGGAGAATATTCCAATAGATCACAAAGACCCCAGGCTAACATCTAAAGATCTGCAGGCCTCTAAACTAGTTAACGTCAGAGTCCACCATCAGTAAAACACTGAACAAGAATAGTGCAGTAAGAGGGTCTCAGAAGAAACTCAGATAGGTTACAGTTCTGGGGTCGTATTACTGAAACTACGTAACTCTGAAATCTGATCTGTTTAGTCTCCATGACGACTTCAGTATGGACTGAATTTAGGACAGTAGCTATTACAGAATAACAGTACCCTTGAAGTACAATGCCAAGTCCCCCTAAAGGACAATGCCAAGTCCCCCTAAAGTACAATGCCAAGTCCCCCTAAAGGACAATGCCAAGTCCCCCTAAAGTACAATGCCAAGTCCCCCTAAAGTACAATGCCAAGTCCCCCTAAAGTACAATGCCAAGTCCCCCTAAAGTACAATGCCAAGTCCCCCTAAAGTACAATGCAAAGGACCTCAATATACAGTGCGAATTTTGTGCAAATGTGCATTGCAACATAAATCAGTTTGAAGGGAAAACCCCCAATTTTTTAAATCCCCCATAACTCAGTGTGTGAGGTGTAAACAGAGAGATTCAGAGTGGTTTGGTGTGAAATGGTTCAGATGTCTTTACAGTGGTGCTGATAGGAACCAGGGGTCGCCATGACTACAACACAAATATAGACATTTTATTTACTATCCAGAACCACCAGTGAACCTACACGAGTCTTCTGAGCTTATATGAATGTTGATGATGGAAAATAGTGGAAAATCTGAAATAATAAGTTTTCTTTGGGGGCTATTTTGCCTCACAGCGCCCTGCATGTATCCCTCCACCATGAATGGAGTTTAAGTTCTCTAAACTATCATAAAACAGTGTCTCAGTCATCAGGCACTGAATTCATAACCATTTCATGTAGGAACTTTCTGTGAGGGAGCTTTTAGAGGTGGACGTCTGGTTCCTATCAGCACCACTGTGAACAGTTCTGACTCTAGTATGATGCACGTCACCAAATCACTCTGAAT